CTCTGTTTTGTTAAGAGCGATCAGTTTGGAATCTTGTCAATTTTAATAGATACTGGAACCTAACATGTACATGTAGTAAAATTCTATTTTGTAGTTACTGTCTTTTTTAACATATATCCATGCCGATTTAGAAAACTATGTAAATGTAACGTACATTTCAAGATATATTTCTGTTTAATAAAAAGCTTAAAATTCATCTAAAATTCATCTAAAAATTCATCGTTTTGTTTCAGTTTATTCCAAAAAAGATTCTCTGTGTAATCACATTGTGTTATATGTCACAATCACCACTATAAAGACACGATTGCCTCAGAATATGAGTAGGTAACGTACATTTCAAGCTTGTAATAATATGTAAATTAGTAATAAGAAAATATTGAAAAAAAAAAGCAATTATTGACATAAAAATCATATCAATGAAGCGTTTTAAGGCAGTAATATAAGAAATCATAATGTAACAAACGAGGTTATTGTCATCAACTACATGAATGTCACGTCACTTCGGTAACGTTCATTTCACATATTATTGGGGAGTCCCCTCCACCTTAGTTCATAACCATTCTTTTGTGCTGTTTCGCTGAAATTGACACCGGTCGTAGCCTAGTTACTTCTAATTGTGTGCAAGGTTACAGACAAAAAAAAATATGAGTCAGATGTATTTTGCTATGATCTAACAAATGTTCGTGTTTGGCCATTGAAACTTAACATAAATCTATTCCGAATATATCCATCGACAGTCTTGTTAACAATTCCATTTAGTATGTTGCAGCATCGTTTTTCAAAACACAAACATACGTGCTTTTCAGCAGATCTGGAAAAATATAACCCAAAATGCAATGATTCAAACAAAACTGAGTATTCAGTATTTGAAATGTACGTGACCATCTTGTGTTCTGGGTTTATTTGTTTTGTTTCTTTTTCTTTTCTTTTTTGTTTTGTTTTGTTTTTTTTTTTACCAATTATAAGCCTATGCATATCTTGTTTTAAATTATCAACAACAATTCAATTAATATTGACGAAAAGTCGCACATGAAAAGTAAACAAACTGCAAAAAGGTTGCCAAAGATGAATTTAAGACACTTAGAAATAAATTTTCTAGCATGTGGTAACAGTTTAAAACATTTACGAGGATTGGGGTGCATTTAGATGTGGCCTGACGTCAAATGGATTGTAACGATAATTTTGTTTCGATCGTGTAAACGCAATTCATTGACTAAATTAAAAAAAATGTCAGTTAGAAATACATAAAATGTACGTTACCATACGTAACGTACAGTATTAATTTAACTTAAAGTTGAAAATTTCTTCTAGTCTTTGATTGCGTAAAAATTAAAACTAAATTCCATGGTCTGTAATATTTTTGAGAGGTAGAAAAGAAGATATTTTCATACGCCACCATTCCGCCAAATATATAGTCCCTGCTAGTTTTCATACGCAGTATACCATTTCTATTTAAAGTTGTATAATTGTGAGGAGGAAAGAAAAATATGGTCTTTTAAATCTCTTACATCTAAATATATGACATATCAGCAAAAATACTTTGAATATTCCATCTAGTCAGAAACCAGAGAAGAATCCGACCTTAAATTCAAGTTACGTGGTGTAGGTTGACACATCCAAAGGTTAAGGGGGTAAAACTGGTTTTTAGAATTGGCAGTAAAAAGAATTGCAATAATCTGCTTGTTTTAAGAACACGTCCTTCAACAAATGTGTTTCCAGACCTGTGTAAAAGATTTTCATGACTTAAAACAGAAAGTGGGAGGGGATGCTAAAATTATAATATACTTTGTTTTTGCTTTTGTGGTAATTTAATGCAAAAACTAAAGCGATACCGGTCTGCAGATGATAAAATTGATTGAAAGAAGGATATGGAGATAACGAACTGTATTCAATCCCAAAGTCCATAAAACAATACAAATTAGGAGGAGAGCAAACACGGACCTCCCATCAGAAGTGGGATCAGGTGCTATAAAGGAGTGAGCATCTCCTGCAGACCGGTCACGACCGCCATGTGCTCCTTGTCATGATCGGGAAATTTGACTCAATGATAAATTGTATTTGATGACAAGGTCATTGTATCAACCATAGATCTATCTAGAACTTAAGAAATGATGACTTTAAACGAGACTGCTGATATTCTTATTTCTTCAGCTTGCTTTTCAATAATTTACCTCGTTTTAGAAATTGTTCATACCTAGAGCATGCTCCTGCATATCGAATAAACTGAGAAATATATATCCCGTATGCAGGTGATGGAGGTATATTGCTGCATGAATAAGAAAAGTTGACGATAGAAAAGTTAAAGTCTTCATGTTTATCATATAGTTTGGTTGTTAGATTACAATTAACGTCTTTTTCAAGTAAAACATCCAAACATGAAACAGATGTGTCAGACTCTGTGGTATCTTTTGTCTCAAGCTCACTAGTATATATCCTATCTATTTAGGAATGGAAATTACCATTGTTAATTGACAATACGTCGTCGATATATCAAAATGTCGAGTTCAAGTCCACAGCAAGTGTTTTCTTCTTTTCACGCTGTCGCAGGCGGGCTGATTGGTCGCCACACAAAAGGAATACAAGGACTAAGTTCTTTAAATGTATCACATTTATTCGTCTTAATACATGTATAAAAGTTCTGGATTGGTATGCTGATAGGGTGGAATGGCTTCCTGGACCAATTTGGGATCTACAAAATTATTGTAAATTTTACAAATTATAACAATTGTAAATACTAAGTTGATTCGTGCTCATGCATATCATAATATCTAATGTATACTTTGCATTTTATTGCATACTGCATTTTACTGCACACGCAAGCATTTTACTGCAATACTCCACAAAATATTTATACGAAATATTTGTGTACAATGAACACGTACTTTAAACCATACATTGTAGCTACTACATACTATAATCAGACTATAATATACTCGTATACTATTAGCATACTACTGGTAGTTGAAATGATAGCAATACACACATTACTCAATCATGTAATTTACAACAAAGTTTAGAACTAAGGTCCTTGGCCCTTTCAGGAAACTGTATTAAATAAAACCTTTAAATGAATAAAACAAACTTACCTCAGAAGAGATGTAAAGTCTGGTCAAAAATACTTTATCTTTATGAAGAATACACTGTTAATACTCGAGCAAGTGAACTACGTCTGCTCTACTCAATTGCTACACCCAAACTGACCATATAACAGCAGTGGATTTAAAACCCGCCAAGTAAATTCTACTGAACACATAAAATATTATGCAACACAGTTATGGCATTTAAATAAGTTATTTTCATGGCGAAAAATTGTATGTTAAAATATATGGAACAATGTTTGGACGTTAATTGTGACACACGCATAAAATTTTGCACAAATTCTGCTTCATATGCTAATATCAGAGCGCAATTGGTATCCATGAGAATTCCAATAGATTTTTGTAATACCTGGTCTCCAAAAACCACATAGATATTGTCAATCAGAACCTCAAGCATCTCTTTGATGTCAACTTCAGAGTACTCGTGTGTGCGATCAGAATGTGTATTAACAATATAATTTAGAAAATGACATTTGACCAGATAAGTAAATTTACGAGTTCCAATTTTATTGAAAAAGCAGCTTTCAATGATATCAAAAAGCCTGGAATTTTATTTATCTTGGGGAATGGTTGTGTATAAAGTTCAGAAGTTGTGAGTAAAGGCTGTTGATTTTGGTAAAATGAATTTTTTGATTAGACAAACCATCGTCACATTATATAAATGTTGAAGAAACGAACATTTCATTGACGTTTATTGATTCTTTTTCAAAGCAATAATAGAAACAAAGGAAACCATGGAGACATCTAATGGAATATTTATACGGCACAATACATGAAACAAGACTTTGACATCGATGTTATCGATAAGAACTTAAGAAGTATGGGAAAAAAACTGAATAAGAAATTTAAAACCAGTAACTGCTGGAGTGTCAAGGATTGATTTCAGACTTTATGATCAAGATTTTGGAACATTGCTCAAGTTGCATCTTTTTAAACTGTATATGCGTTAAACATTTTTTTTTCTAATTGACATCTCATCAGTTAAAATAAGATATTCCTTGATTTTTGTCTTTTCCTTAAGAGGAGGCAGCAAGTTTTCCTATTTTTCAAATTAATTAAAGAAAATGGATACTACCAGGCAAAGGAAACTTTATATGCCAACACAACACAGTTTTGAACTTTTCTTTTTCTTTGTATAATTAAGAGTATAAATACGGGACCTGAGATTGATTTTATGATGCCTGTACACTGTTTCAGAATCAAACTTCTAGGAAAAGCGTTCAAGATAAATATATTTATTTCAAAAACTCAGAGACATTCATTCCACACTTCATAAAATGATCAATAATGTAAAAGCTACATTAAAAAATAAATTAATTGTACATGTACAGTGCGTAACAACTTAAGACAAATCTTTATTCTATTTATTGCGAAAGAATCAAACAAAAATGATCCCTTATATGAGCTATTGCCATTTATAACTTTGCTGTTAATGCCCCACACTTGTAAGACGAACTATCGAATAAATATTGGACCTTAACTGAAATGTATTCTATGAACTTTGAACTTGCATATATATTTCTTAGACCTGAAAGATTGAAGTCACTTTAATTTCTTTTTTATTTCTTTATCTTTTTAGACAGTTGTAGTTTCTTTGGTCGAATGAAATTTAAGAGTGAAATTCAAATATGAATAGATTATATTGATAATTTTGTAAAAAAAAAAAAAAAAAAATTATTTCTTACGAAAATTAGATCCACCAAAAATTATTTCCCATGCCTTCAAAAGTATTTTAACCAATGATATATTTGAACATTTTCATGTAATGTGATATCGACCAACCACGAAAGGAAGACGGTCATCAATCCTTTATCATGATACAACCGTAACACTTCTTATTATCTGAAACCAAAGAATATAAGAAAAACACTCTTGTATCGTAGTTAAGAGTCTTCCATTAATTTAGCTTCCATCAGACTTCTCACAAATATATGGAGTCTTGACAGAACATGTTCCATCATTCCATTCACCATTCATGAGTAGCTGAATACAGTCTTCCCCGTGTGGACTGTAAGGTTCAATTCCAAACCAGTTGGTGAAGTCTATAGACGTGTTCGAGTGGCTCCACTGGTATCTACCTTCCACTATTATATCATTACCTCCAGTCCAAGCAAAGCAACTAAGGTATATATCTGAAGGACACGTGTCTGAAATGTATGAACAGTGCAACATAGATTAACAAAGAACTTTATTCGGTAATAACCAATATTTGCCTCCCAAATCAAACTTTGATGGAGATACATTTAATTAAGTTCTTACACAGGGGAGTGTATGCTGACTTCAAAGCACTGACTATTTTCATAAGTAATGACGCCATATGTACATAATGACGTCACAAACATGGCGTAAATTTCAGTTTTTTTATGAATTCTACAGAAAAATGTACATATTTCGTCGATATCTTGAGTAAAAGTCACCGAGCGCATGTGTGTTCAGGATCAATATTTTGATATGTGTAGAATGATCAATGAAATATGTCAATATTGTTCCTGAACAAACTTGCTCTCTCCCTGTTGTCCTCTTTCTGAAAAAGGATATAAAATCGGACTAGTTTGTGACGTAAAAAAAAAAAAACAGAAATTGTGAATAAACTGCTTTGACACTTTAATATTTTCTATTAATTTATATTTTTCATACAATTGATAAAATTCAGCACATTTCAGGAAGTTTTCAAATTTGACTTTTGTGGGTGGCAAATATATGCAATATATTGCATATAGTTCTTTGTCAATAATACAGTTGAACAAAAGTTTAATATTTCAAATTAATCTAATGTATAATATAAGGGTCAACCATAAATTTTAATTCAATTTTGACTATATATAAAAATTGGCGTTAATGAAAGGTTTTGAAAACGCTTTTCAAATCGCTTTCATTTGTGGCTTTCTGTTTAATCTTTCCTTATTTTCTCATTCAGAGAGCTTCAGTTTTGAAGCTACTTTGGTAGAACCTTGAAATATGAATATATTAATTGTTTGGTAAACTTTAGAAATTTATTTCATTTTCAAAGATTACCACCCCACCCCACCCCACCCCCGCACCCCTCCTCATGCATAGCCTTGTTCCCTTTAGCATCCCTTTTCAGCACTTAAAAGTTCTTATCATTTAGATATAACAGATATCCAAAGTTTGGATATGGGCATCTTTGAAGATACCTATATACTTTGTCGATATGAACATCCGGAGTATCAAATTTGGTACCTTACAAGATTTATATTCTTCTTCAGTAACCTTTGACTTTACCTTTAAAAAGAAAAGCCTGGGCCAGCCAATCAGATTCTTCCTTAGTTTCTATTTCCACCAGATAGGAACATCTGACTTCACAATCATACTGGAAATAAATGTTGTTTTTAATAGATCATTTATTGATTGATTGATTGCATATCATTTAACTTCCAATTCGCGAATTTTTTACTTATGTAGACCTTCACTGTATGCTGATGAAGGGCTTCAAATTTAAATCTATGCTCGGCACTCAGGGCTATTGACCAGAAAAAGTTCTTTATTGTGCCAAAGCCTACAGTGACAACAGACCTATGTTTTCAAAGACCCGTGATTTTCTCTTCTTATACCGAGGGCCTGGCAACGGAACAATCACTACCTATGTTTACGTCTTAGATTTGAGAGGTGCCGCGAACAAGAATTGAACCATGGCCTCCCGATCACGAAGCGAACGCTCTACCGCAAGGCTACAGTGACCGGTGTTTCTTCCGATGGAAATTCTCTTGATGAAATACTTACAAGTATATGTATTTTCATTTAAGGATTTACACAAAGATTTAGTTTCTTCTCAAACATGTTAAATGAAATAAAGATATACCTTTGCTTCAATCCACGTGACCTCGGATTCGCCCCAAAAGTAACAATGAGTCTGATATTGCAACCATCCCGGCTCACAACCTGTTAATTATTATTTTTTAAAATAAAAATCTCATTTATATGAAGATGATGGATTTCAACATTGAATGCTTTTTGTGTATGCGGTTTATGCATCCTTTTTTTATGATCACAGCATTTTATGCCTGTATATAAACAAAACAAAAAAATTTACATTTATCAATATCAATTGAACATCTTAAATTATTGAGCAAAGAAACGCTAGGGATATGACACTCGTTTAGTAATCTTAAATATGGATGGCTTATAGAGAAAAAAGCTGTTACTAGTTTAGAAGATGATTTTGTTTACTGAAAGATGAGCATATATTGGGTACCTGAGAAAAATGGGGAAAATATTAAGAAAATGAAGATTGATTATATAAATTTCCAAGCCAGTTTTTGCGAAATATAAATATATAAGAAACATTCATTATAAACGCTATATTATATATTTACACCTCAGCCTGGAATGTTAATTTAGAAATTTGTAATGATGATTTATCAGTTACGAGAAAACATAACACAAAAAAACCCTCCCCATACATCAAAGAGCGTTGATACATTTAAAAAAAAACATTTAAAGATACCACATTTACAATGTTTGTATAATAGAAGTTAATATTTTATTCATATAAATTTTATTTGGACTTCACAATAAAGTTATTATAAATGCCAGTTTGTTAAGGCAGCACCTGGATCAGAATTCGGCTAAATAACACTTTTTTATAATTATGTAACACTAATAAATCGGAAAAGTCAAGGATAAAACTTTTGCTATGATTACGCATTGTATAGACTTCAATGGGACTTATACCACAGGGAGCACTTCACCACGACGTCATCACGTGACGTCTATAATTAGAAAATATGCCTTAATGAAAAAGTGAAAAGTTTAACACTACCCCGGGGATAATTATTTTCAATTTGTGTAAAACCATCTCTGTACCATGAAAAGTGCTGCTAGAATCCTACTGTCCTATTATAGAAATAATTATTCAACAATTTCGGACGAAACCTTCCCAAAATGTTTACATTTTGTTCATAACATCGAAAAACAAGAGGCCCATGGGCCACATCGCTCACCTGAAAAGCTTTGACTATTCTGTTCTTTACCAGATTCCCCCCATGTAATACATAATGCATCTACACTCTACACTGATCATAATTTAGACATTTTGAAATCTACACTACCCCATGATCCTTCCATGTGCACATAAGTGTCAGCTTTTCTGGCCCAGTGGTTCTTGAGAAAAAGATTTTCAAAGATTTTTCCTATATACTCAGTATTTCTATGTAAAACTTTGATTCCCTATTGTGGCCCCGCCCTTCCCCCGGGGGTCATGATTTGAACAATTTAGAATCTACACTACCCCAGGATGCTTCCACATAAGTTTCAGCTTTACTGGCCCAGTGGTTCTTGAGAAGAAGATTTTTCCTATATATTTCTATGCAAAACTTTGATTCCCCATTGTTGGGCACGCCCTTCCCCTGGGGGTCATGATTTGAACAATTTAGAATCTACACTACGCTAGGATGCTTCCACATAAGTTTCAGCTTTTCTGGCTTAGTGGTTCTTGAGAAGAAGATTTTTCTTATATATTTCTATGTAAAACTTTGATTCCCCATTGTAGCCCCGTCTTTTCCCCAGGGGTCATGATTTGAACAATTTAGAATCTACACTATACCAGAATGCTTCCACATAAGTTTCAGCTTTTCTGGCCCAGTGGTTCTTGAGAAGAAGATTTTCAAAGATTTTTCCTACATATTTCTATGTAAAACTTTGATTCCCCATTGTGGCCCCGCCCTTCCCCTGGGGGTCATGATTTGAACAATTTAGAATCTACACTACCTTAGGATGCTTCCACATAAGTTTCAGATTTTTCTGGCCCAGTGGTTCTTGAGAAGAAGATTTTCAAAGATTTTTCCTATATATTTCTATGTAAAACTTTGATTCCCCATTGTGGCCCCGCCCTTCCCCCGGGGGTCATGATTTGAACAATTTAGAATCTACACTACCCTAGGATGCTTCCACATAAGTTTCAGCTTTTCTGGCCCAGTGGTTCTTGAGAAGAAGATTTTTTAATGACCCTATTTTTGTCTTGCCTTGATTATCTCCCCTTGTGATGGGACTTGGCCTTTTGTACCCAGTTTGGTCAAAATTGGCCCAGTGGTTCTTGAAAAGAAGTCGAAAATGTGAAAAGTTTACAGACGGACAGACAGACGGACAGACAGACAGCTAGACAGACGGACGGACGACGGACAAAATGTGATCAGAAAAGCTCACTTGAGCCTTCGGCTCAGGTGAGCTAAAAATGCATCAATTCCCGTAAACCATACCATTCTAGCAGCACTTTCCAAAAACAAAAGAATAAAAGCTTTAAATAGAAACAAAAATTAAGTTTCAAGGTATGCAGCGTAGTGTTGAACTTTTGCATCTTTTTTGTTACGAACGACAGAGGAAAGGCTGATCGGCAAGTAAACACCCTACCTGCTTTAATTTTACGAAGAAATTGCAGAATTATATTACCATACCTTATTCATACGCTTTATCCCCACAAGAATCACACATGATATTCATTCTAAATGCTTTTAAACTCCATTTCTTTGTGTTTCTTTACATCAATTCTCGTTACGTTTCACTTCCACTCTACTACTGCATGATAAACAGTTATGACGTCATGGGTTTGGTATGTAACCCCTGCGATACCTACAGAGGCCCAGGGACGACAAAAGTACGTTTATATTATGCCTCTGGATATTTTGATTCATTTTTACGACCTCAAATCAATCTTAGATATCGATTTTAAGAAATTGTCATCTCTAAACCTCACGTCATATTGCTTACTATGACGTCATATCATTTAGGCAAGTAGAATATTTGGTTGTAACCTTAAGTGGAGACAGGGAACATGTCACATGACTAAAAAGACATATTACGTCATAATCAGTGGTGATATACATGTTAAACGTTGTTAAAATCAACAATTCTTGTGTAATTTAATTCTAAATTCTAAAATTGTTTTTTAAGTTGTAAGTTTTTTAAATTGCATTTAATTTTAGAAATTATTATTAATAAAGTTTGTAAAGATGTTGCCATCATTTAGATATTGTGAAGTTGCCCAATCCACACAGTTGTTTCTCTTTACTATGCAGTCTGACGTTAGTGACGTCATATACGTATTGTTTGAATTCTCAGTGCAGCGAGATCAAGTACACGCACCGTCATGATCAGTTTTATTTCATAATTAAACAGGTCACAGTCAATGTATCATGATAAATTTCTGAAGCAGATTTTTTAAATTAATATTTTTTCGTGTTTATTAGCAGAGCTTCTCTTATTTAGATAATTTTGAATGTTTATGTTTTCGTGTGACGTCACAATTGATTTCCCGTACTCGAAAAATACAAACGTGAAGCGTTTTTATCAAGCATACGTCTAATTCAACGATGTCCTGTGCGATATTGAGGTAAGCTTCACCCTGTGATATTTATGCAGTAAATAATTACGATGAAGGACTGACATTCAATCGTAAATTTAGAAATATTTATTGACAGAATTTTTTCCAAATGAGGTTTCTGTCGTTGAAGCTACCTTGAAAAATGGAGAAATTATCCCACCCAAATACTATATAAAATTAAAACATTTGCTTTCAGATAATTTAAACACTATGAATATTATGAAATATTTGAGTATATAGTGTTGTCTATCATATTTATCGTTTGTGCGTAAAAATTTGCATTATGGACTCCGTTATGGGCCAATAAACATGAAGTATCTAAACTCCATACAAACTCTAAACAGGGCGGTATTTGTGGAGCGATATCTTTTAAATAAGTCAAGAAATACCATGACAGGACCGTTTTAAAACGTTAAGTACATATTAAATTAGTAAAATAAAAAATACGAAAAAAATTCATTGACAGGATTTTTTTAGCTAAAGGTCCTGTTCCTCCTTAACCTACCTGCGAAAATTTAAAGGTTAAAAAGGGCAATGATAAAGAGGTAGAATTCTGAACAGTAATTGTCAATGTTTAGAATTATTAATATCATAATCATTTTAAATGAATTTTTTTTTCTTAAATGTTTATCAATTTATGCATCCATTTTTTTTCGCATCGTGAGATTAAACAATATTCTTCATCTCTCAGCAGAGGTTTTACATCGTGATGATAATTAGGGTCAAATGCAGCGCTGGTACATGTATATACTTTACCTGTTTCATTTCTACTAAAAGTAATGTCTATGGATTTGAACGGAGTTAGTTGTGGAATGTATGTCTGTTAGTCAGATTTTGTGTGCTTGTCAGTA